GGTTCATGATAGTGTACCGATATATTTTTATGGATGAATTTAAATAATACTGTTAAATATTTTAGGCTCTTAATTCAAGCAATGGCGCAAAATCAGGAGTAACACGGGAAGATTTGATTCGTTGCACAAAAGCTATTACAAAAGCAACTTCAAAGTCGGTAGCCGCTGGGATAAGTAACAAACAAGATGATATAATATGTGCTGCTAATATGACACGGAAAGCTATTTCTGACATGCTTGTCATATGCAAGGTATGTATTATTTTATTTATTTAAATATTTATCAGCAGGTAATTAACACTTGAATGCATGATGAAAAAGATTTTTTATCAATATTAAAACATGTGTCAAACTTTCCTCACTCTGTCCAAAAGTTGCTAGTATTTGTTTTACCCCCGATTTCGTCCGAGTGAAACTATTTTTAATTGTTTATAATTTACAATGCATACAAACCAAAGAAAATAAATATTTCTCAATAACAATAAAAACTTATGATTGTATTACATTGCGTAATACTTCAATAGTTATGCTTTAACATATGTTAATATTTTTAGTGGGGATCATTGGGGATTAACCCATTTTTTAATTAGGTTCAGAAATCGCCGCCATCAAATGATACATTATTTTATTATTAGCTTGCGTCTTTTTGTAACTGTACAAGTTATTGTAAATATACAGCGTTATTGTCATCGGAAAAAGTATATTTCCGAAGTAATAGATTTTATCAGTTTCACCAAATCGGGTTTTTAATGGAAACTATTCATTATAAGAGTGTTTTGAATGCTTCAAGTGCATTTTACGCATTTGCATTTAATGTAATCAGTTAATTAAGTGTAATGTTGTTACTTTCAATTTTTGTTTTGAATATGCTTGTTGTAGAGTACTGCATATAATTTAGCAGAAAATAAAGAGTTACGAAATCGAATATTACAAGCAGGACTAGATTGTGCTCATCAATCAAGGGAACTTTTGTCTATAATATTGCAAGGAAATGATGCAAAACATGCATTACCGCAACAATCACGACTTATAGCACAATCTGTAACAGAACTTGTCACTGTTGCTGAACTATTAAAAGGTACGTAACGATGTCAAAAACAATACTATTAATGTTAAATGAAGAGCAATAGATACTGTTATAAATAAGTCTAAATCAATCATCATAATTGCTATATAATCAATTATTGTTTAGTCATATTTAAGTAGTTATTTTTTATTTATAATATTTCAAGGATCGGATTGGACAGAACCCGATGATTTCACAATAATTGCCGAAAATGAGTTGCTTGGTGCAGCTGCATCTATAGATGCTGCAGCCAAAAAATTAGCAGGACTTCAACCAAGAAAACAAATTACTAAGGTAAATGAATATTTTTTCAAGCATATTAATTTATTCAATTATCACAGTTAATTGCACATATATTCACATATAATTGCCCCATGTAACTTTCAAAATCAAATACATTTCTTTTTTTGTTGTAATATCATTAGCGCAATGATTCAGTTCAGATCCAGAAACCACAAAAAATATAATTATAATGCATTTTCCTTTTACATAAGCTAAACCTATTGTCACGTATAGTTTATAAATTAAATACGTACTAATAGTATGTTAGTGCCTATAATCTTTGTAAATAAAAAAAAAACAACAGGCAAGGACCAGATGGAAAATGTTCTTGGGTTCCAACTTTAAAGAAAATAAAAAAGTTTTAAACATAAAAACACTCACAATGGTGAAATGATGTAATTTAGCGGTTTTTTGTGATTTTAGGCGAAACGTGACCTAGCGGAAAGCGTTCAATATAAAAGTTGTAGATAACAAAAGAATTTAAAACAGTTGTATTTAACACTTTTTGATATAACCTCAAATTTACCTTAAAAATGGCGAAAAACCAATTTTCAGTATGTAATTTTTTTCTTACGTATATAATTATAAGCATGACTTTTTCGGAATTCAGAAGACGACTAGTTTTTGAGTTATATACATTTTTCTAAGAAAATTATTTTCTACAAACATTTGCCTTGATTTTTTTTGTATTTTGAAGGTCTATATGTGATCATCATTTTCTTCATTATTTTTATAACAATAAGTTATATTAAATTATTTATAACATATTTGAAATACATAATGTTAAGATTCGGTTATCTCTTCTGAATCACTTACTTATCCAAATATTGTCGAGTCTCTATTGGAACAGTTTTCATGATAAATACTGCATAAATTGGTACATTTTAAGTCGTGTTTTCGACAATCAGATTTGTGTAATAAAATGTTTATTACATCCACTTTCACAGCTACAACAATAAAAAAAAATTATTGCTGACAAATAATGCGCTAACAGTTAAAAATCATAATAGGCGGGAATGGCAAGAATTAAGAAAGCGATGTTGACCAGTCATGTACAATTGGAATAAACATTACCTACTTGTTGGCATTCAATCATCTTCTCAGGCCTTCGATTATCACCCCTTTTTGGTGGTTCAAATAAATATCCAATAAGGTTATCATTGATCATGATCTTTTTCTCAATATATTCCGCCTACATTTCATACCGCAGTACAAAAAAAAATGGCAGCATGTTTGTAAAGAGAATTGAAATACCTTTAAAAGGATGTGTCGCTTGACCCCCAATATCATCTAAGTTTCTTGAAAGGGTTTTCACTCCCTTTAGAAGGATAACCTTACATCTTTGAATTTACAATCAAAAGATATCCTCCTTGCAATCACAATGAACGTATTTCAGATTTTTGACAAAAAAAAATCGTTTGAGAATTTTCCAGGTGGAAAGTTTTAAATGTGTCAAACTGTGTATATAATAATATCTGAAAATTGGCCAGTAATGAAGTAATTATATAAACTCTTACTTGTAATGGTGTGTTTAATATTTTGAATTTCGTCAATTTAAATTACTGTAAGATATGTTTGATATTCTTGGTTGTAGTTTTAATCACCCAGGAGTCAAACATATTATTACAGTGGTTTACACATAGCGACAAGGATGCATAAGTAAGTATCGGTTCAATATCACCTCTGACACCTCTTGTATGTATTTAATGAAAATGTCAATGATTTTATAGAAACTTTATAACAGCTTATTTTACGTAATATTTCCGGTATGATATTTATTTTTCTACTTTACAGGATAACGATGTCGATGCACATATCAATTTTGACGAAATGATCTTGGAAGCTGCAAAGACTATTGCTGCTGCTACCTCTGCACTGGTCAAAGCTGCTAGTGCAGCACAACGGGAGCTAATAGACAGTGGAAAAGTTTCCAAAACTCCCGTTTCTTCTTCTGATGATGGACAATGGTCGGAAGGTCTTATATCTGCCGCAAGATTGGTTGCTGCTGCTACTCATAGTTTGGTTGAAAGTGCAAATGCCTTGGTGCAAGGTTTGTAAAAAATAATTATCCATTCTTTTGTACACCTATATTTGTCCCTATATACTTAATGGTATGCTTGTCCCATTCAGTTTTTCTTACTTTGTTGCTGTTTTTCGATCGACCGCTTAGGAATGCAGAATTAGTATATACTTCATATTAACAAGTTTTTAATTCGTTTGTATATTATTACTTTATCACAAAATTATGAAACAAAAAGATAGATACTTCAAAAATAATATATTACTTACCAAAGAAGGAAGTAGGCTATTACAGGTCATGTGCCTTCTGCTCGGGTGACAAACACTTGGTCTGTTATAGACCACTTTCTTCCCGAGATGCGTTTGGTATTTTTTGTGACATTCGTACAGAAAGTTCGTTTGATCGAGCGTCCATGTTAGTTGACTATTGTCAAACCAATCAGCTGTTAGAGTACAAGATATATGTGAATTACTCAGTGTATTTTTAAAAATACAAGATGGAAAAAGATTTAAAATAAGACAGAATANTGATTAAAAATAATGAAAAGTATTAAAAATAACTTAATGTTTACAAAAGAATAGAAATTTGCAGAATTTGAAATATGTGCAATCGAAACTGGATTATCTACCGTCAATAAACTATTTCAGCTTAAATAACGCTTTTGAATCGTTTATTAAATAAACATAATAACATTAATATAAACTTTTCATAAGGTTTATTATATGTTAAACTAATTATTTACGTCTTTTGTTTGTTCCCCCTAGGGGAATTCTATGTTATATGACGCGCGCTTATCATTCGTCAGGGTTTGCCGGGATTGTTTTCGTCGGGACGGTGTGTTTAAAGTAAACCAAATGTACAGTTTTTTTACATGAAAAACAGTTGTCATTATCTATTATGCTATAATTTTTGCCTACAATTTTTGTAAGTTTCAAAATTATGTCATGTCCGGCAACACTGCTTAGAGGGTCGCAGTAAATTTCAAATTAAAACGTATATTTCAGTATCGCGCGCATGCTCATAAAATTAAAGTTTCTTGCGTACATTGTTTTTTTGCATGGAAAACAGCTACTTTTGTTAATGTATATAATTTTAATAAATTATGTTCATCGTAGGTTGAATTAGACATACTTTGAAGTAAGGTTTTTTCAAAAAAATGATAATACTCAAAATCTAGAGTGTCTACATCAGAAATGGTTTGACCTCCTTTAGAACAATAAATTTTTCAGATTTTTTTTTAATTAAAAAAAGAAACTACGGATAAGATGCTTTTCTCAGTTTTGGTGTGAGTGCCTCAAAAAATTGCGTTTACGACCTATTGTATTTACATGTTTCTACCTATTTTTAACCATTACAATTGATAAATAAAAATGTGTTGATCCTAAATGATAACATTAAGTACATTTTGGTATTTTAGGGCTGGCTAGTGAGGAAAAGTTGATTTCATCGGCAAAACAAGTGGCAAGTTCCACTGCTCACCTACTAGTTGCTTGCAAAGTAAAAGCAGAAGGAGATACAGAAGCAACTCGTAGATTACAACAAGCTGGAAATGCTGTAATACGTTCAACAGATAATTTGGTAAGAGCTGCACAAAAAGCAATCAGTGTCGAGGAGGAACGATCGTTAATTTTGAATAAGCGTATGGTTGGTGGTATTGCTCAAGAAATAAATGCAAGGTACGTATTACGACGGCATTCATTTGTATTAGCTAAATTTTTGTTTGGTAACTAAAAGTTTTGACATGAAATTAGTAAAATTTCAAAATATTTTAAAAACGACCAATGTATCTGTTATCAGTTTATATTTGATCGGAAGAAAGAAAAAAACTACTTCGTCTTTGTGTACAGGCAATCTTCGAAACGGCTGAACCGATTTCGATGAAAATTTACATACCTTCATCTACATGAATAAGAGATTGAAGGTTACTTTTTAAATCGTTCATTAATTATAATTATTGTGTTTATCACAAACGATGTCGCGAATCAGGGTTAGTCCTACATAAAGCTGTTTTTGTAATCGTACTTATTTCAAAAGGACTGTATTTCAGAAGATTATTTCTAAGATAGATTAAATAAACATAATAACATTAATATAAACTTTTCATAAGGTTTATTATATGTTAAACTAATTATTTACGTCTTTTGTTTGTTCCCCCTAGGGGAATTCTATGTTATATGACGCGCGCTTATCATTCGTCAGGGTTTGCCGGGATTGTTTTCGTCGGGACGGTGTGTTTAAAGTAAACCAAATGTACAGTTTTTTTACATGAAAAACAGTTGTCATTATCTATTATGCTATAATTTTTGCCTACAATTTTTGTAAGTTTCAAAATTATGTCATGTCCGGCAACACTGCTTAGAGGGTCGCAGTAAATTTCAAATTAAAACGTATATTTCAGTATCGCGCGCATGCTCATAAAATTAAAGTTTCTTGCGTACATTGTTTTTTTGCATGGAAAACAGCTACTTTTGTTAATGTATATAATTTTAATAAATTATGTTCATCGTAGGTTGAATTAGACATACTTTGAAGTAAGGTTTTTTCAAAAAAATGATAATACTCAAAATCTAGAGTGTCTACATCAGAAATGGTTTGACCTCCTTTAGAACAATAAATTTTTCAGATTTTTTTTTAATTAAAAAAAGAAACTACGGATAAGATGCTTTTCTCAGTTTTGGTGTGAGTGCCTCAAAAAATTGCGTTTACGACCTATTGTATTTACATGTTTCTACCTATTTTTAACCATTACAATTGATAAATAAAAATGTGTTGATCCTAAATGATAACATTAAGTACATTTTGGTATTTTAGGGCTGGCTAGTGAGGAAAAGTTGATTTCATCGGCAAAACAAGTGGCAAGTTCCACTGCTCACCTACTAGTTGCTTGCAAAGTAAAAGCAGAAGGAGATACAGAAGCAACTCGTAGATTACAACAAGCTGGAAATGCTGTAATACGTTCAACAGATAATTTGGTAAGAGCTGCACAAAAAGCAATCAGTGTCGAGGAGGAACGATCGTTAATTTTGAATAAGCGTATGGTTGGTGGTATTGCTCAAGAAATAAATGCAAGGTACGTATTACGACGGCATTCATTTGTATTAGCTAAATTTTTGTTTGGTAACTAAAAGTTTTGACATGAAATTAGTAAAATTTCAAAATATTTTAAAAACGACCAATGTATCTGTTATCAGTTTATATTTGATCGGAAGAAAGAAAAAAACTACTTCGTCTTTGTGTACAGGCAATCTTCGAAACGGCTGAACCGATTTCGATGAAAATTTACATACCTTCATCTACATGAATAAGAGATTGAAGGTTACTTTTTAAATCGTTCATTAATTATAATTATTGTGTTTATCACAAACGATGTCGCGAATCAGGGTTAGTCCTACATAAAGCTGTTTTTGTAATCGTACTTATTTCAAAAGGACTGTATTTCAGAAGATTATTTCTAAGATAGATTAAATAAACATAAAAATTAATTTAGTCAAAACTGTTACAGGTAAATGCTTAAGCTTTCAATTAATAATACATGTATGTAGTTATGACAACGATTGTAGTGTTTTATGGGTTAACTGATTGTACTTTAACTTGCTTAACGATACCCCATAAGCATAAAATAGAGTTAAAGCGAGGTCCCCCTATTTTCAGTACCCCCTTCCAATAAAGTTTAACTTTAACTCGCCTGGGCCAAAGATTTATATTTGGTTTGTGGCTTTGACACAACGATAAATATCGCTGGACCCTATGGTGCAGGAACTTCAATTGAACAAACACACTTATTGAAACAATTTAACGAGAAGGAAGGGTACACAATAAAATTCGACGGATGTTCAAAAAAGTCTAAGATGTTGATGAATGTCCCGATGGCTTCGTGAGCATATTATTCAGTTGATTGGCAGTAGATGAATCTGATGTTTATAATTTTTACTTGATCACGTGTGTAGTGATATTTTGTGTTTATATGTTTGGTTTGAACACTTACACATCCATTGTATATTAGGTTGATGCAACTTTGATTGTCTTCATAGATAATAGGTGGTCTACTTTAACCCTTTTCCATTTCAATAAGTAAGCATTTCAACCAAATGTATTCTTGAGTTGCTTCTATTAATGCCACATATTCTTATTCTGTGGACGATAAAGACACACAATTCTGTTTTCTTGAAGTCGAACTGATATTTGAATTTGAATAGGTATCCCGAATGAGATTTCTGATCTTCAGAGTTTTGAGCCCAATTGACATCTGAATAACCTATTAATGAGGAATTTTCTGGTTGTGTGCTGCCTAGTACTAATTCTCGCTTTTTAATCCATTCCAAATAGCTTAGGATTCTTTTTATTTCTGTTCCCATTCATTTCGATTTGAAACTCGTTGACTTAGTACTGATACTACAGCAAATATGTCTAGACGAGTGTTGATTAAAATGAAATGATATTTATCATTACCAGGGAGCATGTTTGACTTACCATTATTCTTATAATATTAGGTGTCAATTGGTATTTTTGAATCTCTAGTATCCTCCATTCCTCCTCTCATCACTTTATTAATATACTTTTTTCGGTTCAAATAAAAATAACCATCTTTATCTCTTCGAACATTTATTCCTAAGTAGCAATTACTTTCGCCTAGATCTCTTAATTCAAAGATACATTGAATTTTTGAACTATTGAAAACAAACCGAACTCAAATAGTCTTCAAAGAATGAAGTCACTTCTATACTCGCAAACGGTTAATTTAGCAATCTGAGAAAGATTGTTAGTCATGACGGTGGTCGCGGCGGAAAAGAAAAGGTTAGAAGCGTTCGAAATGTGTTATTGCGAATGATGAAGATACCGTGGATAGAGAAGGTTAGAAATGAAAAGGTATTAGAAGGAATAGAAGAACAGAGGAGTCTATGGAAGTCAATAAAAAATAGGCGAGATAGGTTGGTAGGACACCTTCCTCAGGTATGAAGGTCTAGTCAGAGACACATTAAATGCAGAAATAGAAGTTAAGAGAAGTAGTGGTAGACCTAGATTAGATTAGTGTTCGCAAGTAGAATATGGGATATTATAGTTTGACAACAGGCTATTAGTATGTCATCTACATATATAACATATCCACTCTTCTTAGTGTTTATAGTGTATAGATATGGTCTTCTTTGCTTTTCTGGAAACTAGTCATTTATTCATTCCAAATGCGTACAGCTTGTTTTAGACCATAAATGCTTCTCTTGAGTTTGCATACTAGTTTCATTTTATTATCCCGGGAGATTGCTTCATGTATCTTGTTTCTTGAATTTTGCCATTAAGGATAGCAGTTTTAGCGTCATAATGATGTATTAGATTTTCTCTGTCTGCTGTAGTTAATAATACTAGGAATACCGACACCTAATTTTTGTAAAAAGCCTTGGGCAACTAAGCGTGCTTTATATTTATCGATTTCGCCATTTATGTGTGACTTAATTTTATATACCAATTTATATTCTATGACATTTACATTTTCAGGTGCTTTCACTAGTTCCCATGTATCGTTTTTGTCACTGAATTTATTTCGCTATCCATAGCNGGTCAGCTAGTTATTAATAAAATGTAAATGAATAATAATAGCACTGATAAATAATAATAAATTCACTATGAAAATAAAATTAACTTGAGAGTTGCACTGAAAAATTAAAATGGACGAAAACTGTATAGAGAATGAGAGAAAGGAAGCCGGCTTCGTCTCATCCCTACTGATGTTTGCTGGTTGATAAGTGACAACGGGAGACATCTGGCGATGATAACTGATTGGTTGATAGAAGTATACATAAAAATTATAGTATAGTACAATTATTATATTCGATTGCCATCTTGTGGATCTGTGGATGGAAGAGAATAACATAAAAATCGCGATTAAACATCAGAGGTTGATTGTATAAGGATGAAAATTTAGAATTGTATGTATTTTTCAATGCTGAATCATGAAAAAATAAAAACAAAAAAATTTGTCCAAAAAATAAAAAGAAAACTTTGGGGTGGACCACCCTTAACATTTAAGGGGTGGACCACCCTTAACATTTAAGGGTATGAAAAATAGATGTTGGCCGATCCTCAGACCTACCCCATAAGCACAAAATTCCGTTTCGGAGGAGTTTAGCAACAAACAGCGCTACACGAGAATTTTATATATTAGATGTCTCTTTCGGTTATTAATACACGTAGTTCAGTAGCATCTATTATAATAGTTTTACTAAAAAAACAGCATCAGGTTCATGATAGTGTACCGATATATTTTTATGGATGAATTTAAATAATACTGTTAAATATTTTAGGCTCTTAATTCAAGCAATGGCGCAAAATCAGGAGTAACACGGGAAGATTTGATTCGTTGCACAAAAGCTATTACAAAAGCAACTTCAAAGTCGGTAGCCGCTGGGATAAGTAACAAACAAGATGATATAATATGTGCTGCTAATATGACACGGAAAGCTATTTCTGACATGCTTGTCATATGCAAGGTATGTATTATTTTATTTATTTAAATATTTATCAGCAGGTAATTAACACTTGAATGCATGATGAAAAAGATTTTTTATCAATATTAAAACATGTGTCAAACTTTCCTCACTCTGTCCAAAAGTTGCTAGTATTTGTTTTACCCCCGATTTCGTCCGAGTGAAACTATTTTTAATTGTTTATAATTTACAATGCATACAAACCAAAGAAAATAAATATTTCTCAATAACAATAAAAACTTATGATTGTATTACATTGCGTAATACTTCAATAGTTATGCTTTAACATATGTTAATATTTTTAGTGGGGATCATTGGGGATTAACCCATTTTTTAATTAGGTTCAGAAATCGCCGCCATCAAATGATACATTATTTTATTATTAGCTTGCGTCTTTTTGTAACTGTACAAGTTATTGTAAATATACAGCGTTATTGTCATCGGAAAAAGTATATTTCCGAAGTAATAGATTTTATCAGTTTCACCAAATCGGGTTTTTAATGGAAACTATTCATTATAAGAGTGTTTTGAATGCTTCAAGTGCATTTTACGCATTTGCATTTAATGTAATCAGTTAATTAAGTGTAATGTTGTTACTTTCAATTTTTGTTTTGAATATGCTTGTTGTAGAGTACTGCATATAATTTAGCAGAAAATAAAGAGTTACGAAATCGAATATTACAAGCAGGACTAGATTGTGCTCATCAATCAAGGGAACTTTTGTCTATAATATTGCAAGGAAATGATGCAAAACATGCATTACCGCAACAATNAGCTAGTTATTAATAAAATGTAAATGAATAATAATAGCACTGATAAATAATAATAAATTCACTATGAAAATAAAATTAACTTGAGAGTTGCACTGAAAAATTAAAATGGACGAAAACTGTATAGAGAATGAGAGAAAGGAAGCCGGCTTCGTCTCATCCCTACTGATGTTTGCTGGTTGATAAGTGACAACGGGAGACATCTGGCGATGATAACTGATTGGTTGATAGAAGTATACATAAAAATTATAGTATAGTACAATTATTATATTCGATTGCCATCTTGTGGATCTGTGGATGGAAGAGAATAACATAAAAATCGCGATTAAACATCAGAGGTTGATTGTATAAGGATGAAAATTTAGAATTGTATGTATTTTTCAATGCTGAATCATGAAAAAATAAAAACAAAAAAATTTGTCCAAAAAATAAAAAGAAAACTTTGGGGTGGACCACCCTTAACATTTAAGGGGTGGACCACCCTTAACATTTAAGGGTATGAAAAATAGATGTTGGCCGATCCTCAGACCTACCCCATAAGCACAAAATTCCGTTTCGGAGGAGTTTAGCAACAAACAGCGCTACACGAGAATTTTATATATTAGATGTCTCTTTCGGTTATTAATACACGTAGTTCAGTAGCATCTATTATAATAGTTTTACTAAAAAAACAGCATCAGGTTCATGATAGTGTACCGATATATTTTTATGGATGAATTTAAATAATACTGTTAAATATTTTAGGCTCTTAATTCAAGCAATGGCGCAAAATCAGGAGTAACACGGGAAGATTTGATTCGTTGCACAAAAGCTATTACAAAAGCAACTTCAAAGTCGGTAGCCGCTGGGATAAGTAACAAACAAGATGATATAATATGTGCTGCTAATATGACACGGAAAGCTATTTCTGACATGCTTGTCATATGCAAGGTATGTATTATTTTATTTATTTAAATATTTATCAGCAGGTAATTAACACTTGAATGCATGATGAAAAAGATTTTTTATCAATATTAAAACATGTGTCAAACTTTCCTCACTCTGTCCAAAAGTTGCTAGTATTTGTTTTACCCCCGATTTCGTCCGAGTGAAACTATTTTTAATTGTTTATAATTTACAATGCATACAAACCAAAGAAAATAAATATTTCTCAATAACAATAAAAACTTATGATTGTATTACATTGCGTAATACTTCAATAGTTATGCTTTAACATATGTTAATATTTTTAGTGGGGATCATTGGGGATTAACCCATTTTTTAATTAGGTTCAGAAATCGCCGCCATCAAATGATACATTATTTTATTATTAGCTTGCGTCTTTTTGTAACTGTACAAGTTATTGTAAATATACAGCGTTATTGTCATCGGAAAAAGTATATTTCCGAAGTAATAGATTTTATCAGTTTCACCAAATCGGGTTTTTAATGGAAACTATTCATTATAAGAGTGTTTTGAATGCTTCAAGTGCATTTTACGCATTTGCATTTAATGTAATCAGTTAATTAAGTGTAATGTTGTTACTTTCAATTTTTGTTTTGAATATGCTTGTTGTAGAGTACTGCATATAATTTAGCAGAAAATAAAGAGTTACGAAATCGAATATTACAAGCAGGACTAGATTGTGCTCATCAATCAAGGGAACTTTTGTCTATAATATTGCAAGGAAATGATGCAAAACATGCATTACCGCAACAATCACGACTTATAGCACAATCTGTAACAGAACTTGTCACTGTTGCTGAACTATTAAAAGGTACGTAACGATGTCAAAAACAATACTATTAATGTTAAATGAAGAGCAATAGATACTGTTATAAATAAGTCTAAATCAATCATCATAATTGCTATATAATCAATTATTGTTTAGTCATATTTAAGTAGTTATTTTTTATTTATAATATTTCAAGGATCGGATTGGACAGAACCCGATGATTTCACAATAATTGCCGAAAATGAGTTGCTTGGTGCAGCTGCATCTATAGATGCTGCAGCCAAAAAATTAGCAGGACTTCAACCAAGAAAACAAATTACTAAGGTAAATGAATATTTTTTCAAGCATATTAATTTATTCAATTATCACAGTTAATTGCACATATATTCACATATAATTGCCCCATGTAACTTTCAAAATCAAATACATTTCTTTTTTTGTTGTAATATCATTAGCGCAATGATTCAGTTCAGATCCAGAAACCACAAAAAATATAATTATAATGCATTTTCCTTTTACATAAGCTAAACCTATTGTCACGTATAGTTTATAAATTAAATACGTACTAATAGTATGTTAGTGCCTATAATCTTTGTGAATAAAAAAAAAACAACAGGCAAGNAAATTGATGTACGTGCGTGACAAACCAAAGATCGTCAAAAATCCGGGAAACGGGCGTGGAGAGCAGCAAGAAGAATCCCAATAAATATCAAGCAACCAACATTTATGTACACAAACATTGCATCCCTGTTATTCAAATTTAACCAATTCACTGCAGAACTCGACGTCCTCCAACTTGAATTCATCCTCTTGACTGAAACCTTGCTTCATCCCGACATACCTGACTCCATGATCAGCTTCTTGGCTATTCAATCTTCTGACATGACAGGCTCGAACGAGGAGGCGGCATGATGATCTACGTGAAACACCACCTGGACAACATAAACATCCTGGCCGAACGGATCACCAATTACGACAATCCGTTGCTTGAGGCGCTCTGGCTACGTGTAGCTATTGGCGACTTTCTCTTCTCCACCCTAGCTACCATTAGTGTCTCATTTGTGCCAGCAATTGTATTTGGCGATTTTAAGAGCAAACCATCCACCTTCACATCTCGAACTCGTTCTGGTAAACGATGATGACGCCGTCACACCACCAATTCTCATACCCAACATCGACTTCAGTGATTATCTTGTGGTCACCACGAGTTTGCAGATATCCATCTACAGTGCTTCGGATCGCCCCAGATCCCAGGTTCACAGACTCAATTATAACTGAAATGATTTCGAAGCTGTCAAACTGGATCTTGCTGAACTGTCATCATCTCTGTTCCCAACGGGTCCTAGCCCAGGTTTGCATCGTGATGTCGAACAGGTCTATGCTGAATTCCCGGATGCGTGTGCAGCCCTCCTGGAGTCGCACACGCCACGACACAAACTCCGCTCTTCCAAGTGCAAACCATGGATCTATAGAGAAGTGACTATACAGCACACCGACTCATATGTAACAGGCTCACTGTTTTGGCCAGACGTCTGAGAACCGAATATGAGAGAAGAATTATCGCCTCTGGGGGTAAAGGATACTTCTCTTACATCGGCCGACAAATCTCCTCCTGAGGCTTGGAAAGAGGCTATTGTGACACCAATTTTTAAGAAGGGCGATAAACGTGATGCCCTCAATTATAAGCTGATCAACCTATGCAGCACCATCGGTAAGGTTCTGGAAAGAATCATAGTCAGACGCCTTCATGACCACATCGCCGCCTCGAGACTAGTTCCGTACCAGCAACACGGTTTCCTTCCCCGGCGATCAACCGTGACCAACCTAGTGTCAGCTCATAACCATTGCACAGGAGCACTGTCTTCGGGGAATCGAGCCGACGTGATTTACCTGGATTACGCTAAGGCGTTTGACAAGATACCTCACCGGCGCCTGATCCACAAGCTAGAGAAACTTGGTATCCAAGTGTCTCTCCTGAAATGGATCAAAGATTATTTTCGAAACAGGACCATCAGAGTGCGAAATAACACCATCTCGGACCTCTATCCAGTTTCCAGGGGTGTATCACAGGGATCTGTTCTTGGCCCGGTCCTCTTTATATTGTACACTTGCGACATTGGAGATGGCATCACCTCGAATTGGAAGTGTCTTGCGGACGACACAAAAATTTTTGGCAATCCCATAACGGCTTACCAGGACATCCAACAAGACCTAGACTACATTGCAAGGTGGTCTTCTTCATGGCTTCTGCCCCTGAATGCTGCCAAGTGTACGGTACTTCATCTGGCTAAGAGGAATCTCAGGAGAAGTTACATTCTCCTCAGCTGCACCCTAGAACTCAGAATCCCAAGTGGACCTTGGGGTAACCATGACCCAGGATCTCAAATGGATTTCACACATCTCCAAGATTGTCAAGAAAGCCAACACGGGAATATATCTACTCAGAAGAGCTTTTGCTAAACCTGACAGAGAGATGATCCGCCTACTCTACGTACGTTCCGCCCTTTGTGGAATACGCCAGTTGTGTCTGGACTCCATATTTCGTCAAAGAGATCACTCTGCTCGAAGCCGTACAACAACGTGCTACTAAGTTGGTACCTGAGATTAGATACGTGGAATACACGGACAGATGCAGAGCCTTTGACCTGCCTACTCTCCAACGAAGGCGCCTCGCTGCGGACCTCGCCGAGACATTTAAGGTCTTGAATGACCTTTGCGAATCACCGGATCTTGTCAACCTCTTCAATCGAGCCCCAGCGACAGCCTGGGCCCGACGTGGTCACAATCTGCAGATTGACAAAGAGCGCACATCAACCGCGGCGCGCAATAATTTTATAACTAACAGAATAGTTTACTCCTGGAACAGACTTCCTAGTCATTGTATCCAATCTAGAAATGTAGAAACTTTTAAAAGTCTGTTACAGGACGCTATTCTGTAATTTTGCTACACTGTGATGTTTACTCTTGCTAAGGCTCACTTTTCCGCGTATTCTAATTCTAATTTTGATTCATTCTGTTTTCCGGTTCAAATCTACTTTTAAAAATCTTACTCTTTTCCTCAGTTTATTGCATACGTTGAAAGTGAAATTATATATGTATATTAGCTCTTACTGTTCTCCATTATTATAAATAAATAAAATGAATTACGATTACCATCATCATAAAGTCGTTAGGCTTAAGACCTCCACTCCTTCCTATCCTGAGCTATTCTATGCATTTCCCTAAAACTAGAACATCCCACATCCTTGCGAACAGTAATCTAATCTAGGTCTACCTCCACTCCTATTAACTCCTGCTTCAGCCTCTAATATATCTCTGACTAGACCTTCATGCCTGAGAAGGTGTCCTATGATTAAAAATAATGAAAAGTATTAAAAATAACTTAATGTTTACAAAAGAATAGAAATTTGCAGAATTTGAAATATGTGCAATCGAAACTGGATTATCTACCGTCAATAAACTATTTCAGCTTAAATAACGCTTTTGAATCGTTTATTAAATAAACATAATAACATTAATATAAACTTTTCATAAGGTTTATTATATGTTAAACTAATTATTTACGTCTTTTGTTTGTTCCCCCTAGGGGAATTCTATGTTATATGACGCGCGCTTATCATTCGTCAGGGTTTGCCGGGATTGTTTTCGTCGGGACGGTGTGTTTAAAGTAAACCAAATGTACAGTTTTTTTACATGAAAAACAGTTGTCATTATCTATTATGCTATAATTTTTGCCTACAATTTTTGTAAGTTTCAAAATTATGTCATGTCCGGCAACACTGCTTAGAGGGTCGCAGTAAATTTCAAATTAAAACGTATATTTCAGTATCGCGCGCATGCTCATAAAATTAAAGTTTCTTGCGTACATTGTTTTTTTGCATGGAAAACAGCTACTTTTGTTAATGTATATAATTTTAATAAATTATGTTCATCGTAGGTTGAATTAGACATACTTTGAAGTAAGGTTTTTTCAAAAAAATGATAATACTCAAAATCTAGAGTGTCTACATCAGAAATGGTTTGACCTCCTTTAGAACAATAAATTTTTCAGATTTTTTTTTAATTAAAAAAAGAAACTACGGATAAGATGCTTTTCTCAGTTTTGGTGTGAGTGCCTCAAAAAATTGCGTTTACGACCTATTGTATTTACATGTTTCTACCTATTTTTAACCATTACAATTGATAAATAAAAATGTGTTGATCCTAAATGATAACATTAAGTACATTTTGGTATTTTAGGGCTGGCTAGTGAGGAAAAGTTGATTTCATCGGCAAAACAAGTGGCAAGTTCCACTGCTCACCTACTAGTTGCTTGCAAAGTAAAAGCAGAAGGAGATACAGAAGCAACTCGTAGATTACAACAAGCTGGAAATGCTGTAATACGTTCAACAGATAATTTGGTAAGAGCTGCACAAAAAGCAATCAGTGTCGAGGAGGAACGATCGTTAATTTTGAATAAGCGTATGGTTGGTGGTATTGCTCAAGAAATAAATGCAAGGTACGTATTACGACGGCATTCATTTGTATTAGCTAAATTTTTGTTTGGTAACTAAAAGTTTTGACATGAAATTAGTAAAATTTCAAAATATTTTAAAAACGACCAATGTATCTGTTATCAGTTTATATTTGATCGGAAGAAAGAAAAAAACTACTTCGTCTTTGTGTACAGGCAATCTTCGAAACGGCTGAACCGATTTCGATGAAAATTTACATACCTTCATCTACATGAATAAGAGATTGAAGGTTACTTTTTAAATCGTTCATTAATTATAATTATTGTGTTTATCACAAACGATGTCGCGAATCAGGGTTAGTCCTACATAAAGCTGTTTTTGTAATCGTACTTATTTCAAAAGGACTGTATTTCAGAAGATTATTTCTAAGATAGATTAAATAAACATAAAAATTAATTTAGTCAAAACTGTTACAGGTAAATGCTTAAGCTTTCAATTAATAATACATGTATGTAGTTATGACAACGATTGTAGTGTTTTATGGGTTAACTGATTGTACTTTAACTTGCTTAACGATACCCCATAAGCATAAAATAGAGTTAAAGCGAGGTCCCCCTATTTTCAGTACCCCCTTCCAATAAAGTTTAACTTTAACTCGCCTGGGCCAAAGATTTATATTTGGTTTGTGGCTTTGACACAACGATAAATATCGCTGGACCCTATGGTGCAGGAACTTCAATTGAACAAACACACTTATTGAAACAATTTAACGAGAAGGAAGGGTACACAATAAAATTCGACGGATGTTCAAAAAAGTCTAAGATGTTGATGAATGTCCCGATGGCTTCGTGAGCATATTATTCAGTTGATTGGCAGTAGATGAATCTGATGTTTATAATTTTTACTTGATCACGTGTGTAGTGATATTTTGTGTTT